GAAAGGACGCAGGCGCTGCCTCAGTTTATTGAGATCGGTACGATTGGCATCGCTGAGAGGCCGCGCGTCCCCGCAGGCCCGGCTCCGGCCACACCCCCAACTCCTGGCAGCTTCCAAGCTGCTCTTAATGTTAGCTCCTTGAACCTGGAGAACGAGGCGGCTTGTGGCCGTGGTTAGGAAAACTGTGCCCTCTTCTCCAAGTCAGTTTAAAATACATTCATCGCACAATTCAGGGCCAACTACCTGGACGAATTATGCGTGAATAACAGCTCTAAATCACCCTGCATGCATCGTCTACAGAGAGCTGTTGTCAAGCACAGTCTTTAGTCATGCTTAAAAATCGTATTTCTAGCGTCAGTGAGAAAACCAACACTGCAGAAATATGGCTTTTTTCAGGCAGATCTGGGCCGAACTTGACAGAAAAAAACCCCAGTACTGGGCCACTCCGGAAGCGGGAGAAAGGCCATTGTGAACACATGCAAAGCTGCATCAAAACGCAGTCCTTGAGATCCTTCCAAGGAGCTCTGTCTGTGACAGGGCGTCTTGTGCTTCTCCACTAATTCACCGGAGGAGGCGGAGGGCTCAACTAAACAGGCAGCGGAGGTGCGGCGGTCCATCACAAACGCTCACCACCGTACCTGTGACCAAGAGCCAAAGTGATGGCAAAGCTGCAGGAGGGAATAGCAAAGGGAACCAGGAAAATCTTAGAGAAATCCCAGTTGTTACAAAAAAGGAATAAAATGGGAGCTTTAAACATACTTTTTGCAGAGAAGTTACAGTCATAAAAATATCTCCGCACTGGAAAGGCATCCATAGTATATGACAGAAAAATCTGAAGACATAAACTGACGTTTTAAAGGTTAGATTATTTACCAGAAAGTCTCGACAGTCTTTACCAGCACATCTGATTCGGCAGCAAATCTCACACATCACAACACAAACAGAAGATAATTTTCCCCCTTAACAGAAAATTAAGCTCTGCTCAGGATACAAGATTCCAGCTGAATAATTCTATCGCTTCTAGGTCAACTGATTTTAACAACATGACAATCTCAATTTCAAGACAACAACAACAGCAAAAAAATTGCTTGTTACTGAAGCAAAACAATATCTCTATTGACTTTTGGCAAGGACTGAATGCAAGACGGATTGATTTTTTTTCTTAATACGTAGCCTCCGATGTATGAACTCACTCCTTGCTGAAGTTGCCAAAATGCTGTCCTGAGTTACAATTGAAATTCCCATACATGTGCCTTATTTTCCTTGGCACAGTATGGACTCCTTCCTTTCTTTTTGAAAGACTCAGCCAAATGGAATTTGGGGGTGGGGGGACATCCTGTATACCAGGAAATTCAATATATAGCTCCAGAAATTTTATTTTTAAAAAAAGAAAGATAAGAAAAAGATGCAGGGGAAGACTGGAAACAGCCAGCGTGCCCTCTGCAGCTGGCTCCTAGACCCCAAAGAGGCTGCTCCCTCCTTCCCTTATGCTTGCCTTTGAGAAGATAAAAATAGAAACAAGAAAAATAACATCAGCATACATGTATGCAGAATTTAATCAAATGTTGATAGTGCCTTGAGTTATTGATTAATGAAAAACCCATTTAAATTCTAGAGTCTCTTTCTCTTAATCTAAATTTTAAAAGCATGACATAGAAGTTCTGTGTATTTGGATCAATTTGAAGCATATCATCATTTAAGCCCCCAAACCACTTGTATTTGTGGGCAATTATATGGGCTGATCAGAACTATGGCTTCCTGTTTTTTGTTAAGATTCTAAAGCATTAGATGTAAAGTCACTATCTGCATGTCTCAGTGATCAATTTCCCTCCCAAGTTCTTAAACAAATGATAATATAACCATAAAAGAATGAAAAATCTTTCTGCTCTATGCCTCTCTCAAAGGCCAATACACATCTTTATAGAAACAGTTCCGGCAGGAAGAGGAGGCATGACGGCTTGAGGAAAAGTTCCAAGTACAGTTTATAACAAAGTACAATATTAGAAAGACTACCATAAATCACTGTTTAGTAGATTTCTTTATCACATTTTTCAAAAGTAAACAAACTGAGCTATATTTGCAGCAACTCAAAGTGGAGCATAAATTTAAATGATGTATTTGTTCGATTCACTGACAGGAGGCTAACAGGACGTTAATATATTTTCTTCCTGTCAAGAGTTATTTACACACGTACAGTATTTCAGTTAAAAATGAAATATTATACCATGAGTTATATTTTGTAGGAAAGCATAAGGGAAGTCAAATACGCAAGTCTGTTAAAGACTTAAAGACTTCTAACAAAGTACTTTATTTTGGGGGTGGGGTGGGACCAAATAATAGAGCCTGTAATAGAGAAAACACATCGCTCCCAGTCACTCTGACGCCGCGGAAGTCCCCAGACCCAGTTAGCCACCTGGTTCCTACAGCCTCTTCTCAGACCTCCTGATCCGGCAGGTAGGGGCGCGGGGCGCAGCACAGGCCCGGCCACCCAGAGCTGGTGCCCATCCTGGGAGGGGTCCCTGTGGCTGCAAATGGAGCCAGTCACCTGAGTGCCTGACAAAGTTCCAGACATCTTTTCTCCCTTGGCAGGTACGACACAAGCAGCTTCCCTTCAAGCCACAGGAAGGAACATGTGCCAAATGTGAAAAGGGCAGAATGTGAGTGACCATAGAGCGGTTAACTCTGTTTTCTAGCACAGAAGTGTCTATAATAGTCTGCTGCTTTGGCTCCAAAGTGGCGAAAAAAGACACATCTTGGTCTGACTGCAAAGCTAAGATGATCTCTTCAATGACTTCAAGATGAGGGTTACCAGCATTTCTAAACTATGCTGAAGGGAAAAAAACATGACATTGAATCACATGAGCCATGAACTGTGTTCTGAAACATACTCTGGTTCAGGGTTTTTTTTTTAAAACCACATCTCAGGGACAATAAGCCATTTTTCATATAATAATCATATACAAAATTCCTTTAAAATGATAAAATTGCTTTAATAAAAGAGTTATTTCCTAAATCTTACAGACAAACTTCCAAGAATAGGTATGCATGTTTTTAAAACTCTAACTAAAAGTCTTCTAATACTATTTTTCCTCCCTCTGATACAAAAGAATTGGCAACATGGAGAACACAGGAAATGGGGAGCAAGTTGCTGGCAAGATGGGGTGAAGGATGGGAGGGCAGTGGCAAGAAAGGTATGCGCAGGTCAGGATTTAAGATGCTCTCCTACACATGTGATGCAGAAGTGAGCAGTCCAACTGGCACTGTCTCATGTTAAGTCCTGTGCAGGTTTAAAGTAAGTGACATGGTTGGGCCATAAACTTTTTCTGACTGACTACAAAATTAATACCATTAAGATATACTCACCATTAAGGCTTAAATTTGCTGTTTCATAATCTCTATGTCATAACAAAATTTATAAAAGTGTCCCTCATTTCTAGAAGACTATTGACATTTCACATTTTAGTCTATGTTTATTAAATATAAAAGTGAACTATATTAATTTCCTTTGTCATTTTATAAATAAGGTTTTATGCATAAAAATTAATAGGTCAATTTATATAATAAATCTGAAATGTGCTCTCACATGATTTGCCAAAATTCCCTAAACAGGAAATCAAGTTGCCACCTGATGAAGTTTAAAATCTGTACGCTCAGAAAAATGGTGCATGTACCCTTTTCCAACAGCATCTGTCTTAGAGCTATGGCTAGCAAAACCCTTATGTTTGGCACAGGGTCTGATGCAAGGCTTAAGAGGCTGGGGAGTAAGTTTTCGACAAACTGGTCCACGGGGATACACTCCTCACTCACCACTGCCTGTGATGAAGAGAAAGCCACAGCCCAAAAAGGGACATTTTTCCATAGTGATCAGCATGGTTTTTCTAACAGCATACACTTCTGTAATTCCAGAGAAGTAACTTCAGGATCTTTTGGTTTGAGGAGTGTGTGTGTCTGAATTTTAAGGAACTTTTTTTTTTAATTGTTTTTGGTTTTCTGTTTGTTTTTTGGGAGGGAGGTAATTAGGTTTTTAAAATTGTTATGATTTTTAATGGAGATACTGGGGATGGAACCCAGGACCTCGTGCATGCCAGGCACGTGCTCTACCACTGAGCTACCCCCTCCCCACCTCGTGTGTCTGAATTTGAAAATCTCAACCACTGGATCTGGTTAAAAATGCAGTGAACATGTTACAATTCATTACCAAGCACTGGGATAACATTCGATGGAGAAGGCAAAGGCTTCTGAGCCAGAGAGGTCTACATTCACAACCTAAACCTGGTCATTTACTAGCTGTGTGGCCGTGGGTAAGTGGCTTCACCTTTCTGAGCTTTAGTTTCCTCATCTATGCAGTGGAGAAGTGACAGGGATGGCAGATCATTTTTGCAGTTGAGCAGAGTGCCCACCAATACAGGCTAGGAACCCTCAGCTCTGTTACTCACCAGAACTCAGGTTCTGAGGGCAGGGGCCATGCCTGTCATGCGGCAGCCAAAGCCCAGACCCCAATCCAGTGCCTGGCGCTCTGTGAACAAGGTAGAAACACTGCTCCTGTAATGACCACCAGCATCTGCCCAGAACTTCTCTGCTTACAGGGTCTCTCGTGTTCACTCATTTAATCCTCACCACCAGCCGTGGAAATCAGAATGAGCCCGACTCTACAGGTGAGTCCCATGTGGTGGTGACACCCAAAGATCTCATGATCAGGAAGCCACAGCGGGGTGGAGACTCCTAGTCAGGACTGTGGACTCTAAATCCTGTGGACCCTCCCACTACAGGGTGACTACCAACAGCCACTGGTACTTACTAAGTGCCTTCCAGGTGCCGGGTACCGCGCTAGGTAACCTGGCTGCATCACGTCATCAAAGCCTCTGGACCACACTAGGAGGCAGGCCTGTGCCACTGGTGCTCCGTTCACAGAGGATGGAAAGGCAGTGCAGAGAGGGTGCTCTGCCCAAGGCCACTCAGCAGGGAAGCAGTAGACTCAGGCTTCAAATTAGCCGGTTTGACTCTAAAATCAGGCCCCGAACGTCCAGGTTATAACCTCCTCCTGTATTTAAATAACCCATATGCCCCTCGGCAGGCGTTCTTAGCCCCTCCTTCTGTTAGTTACTGTGGCTTTTCTAAATCTTTAATAATTAGTGAAAGCATTAAAAAAATGATTTTTCTTGGCCAAAATTAATTGGTGCCTTTTCCTTTTGTTTCACCATGGATTGTTCAAATCTTAGAAAGAGAATTTTAAAATACAAGCAAAAATAGCTCACTTACCCTTTCTCCACAAAATAATTCAGAGCACTGAATTCTTCTTCTTAGAAGTCTGTAGTGTTGGGCCTGTGGTTTGTGAGGTCGACATTTTATGCTGGCAGGCCTCGTTTCTGAGGATCAGAGACAGGATGGGATGCCTGGTACTGAGAGGTGTTCAAGAAATGACAACCATGGTCCCCAGCGAAACATATCACACCCTCATTTCCGAGATGCCAGGGAGAGAGGGTGACCCGAGTTGCTAAACAGGTCAAGTTTTGCTGACATGAACTTCACCTTAAAGAGATGAAACGGTCTCTGCCCTAGTCTGTTGCTCTGTCCTTCACCCCACCTTCCTCCTGGCTTCACTGAGGCGCAGTGCTGACCAGCCCTGACAGAAGCAGGGTCTGGGCCTGGCCCTCACCCCACCGGATGGAAGGTGCCAAGCGAGCGGCGGTTCACTTTCTGTCTCTAGCACCTGAAGCGTGCCGGGCACGCAGTACGCACTGCGCGCCCAATTCGATCCAGAGGATGAACGCCTGGAAGGACTGGGGAACTCTGAGCAAGTCACTCTGCCCGACTGGGTTGGACCCGCTCTCCTGTGAGATAAGGGGGTTTGGTCCCCGGCCCCCCAGTTCCCGGCGAGTCAGTCCTCCAGGGCTGCGACTCTCTGCCGGGCGCACCTGACAGCAGCACGTGGCAAACACAGGCTCAGGGGAGATGCTCCCACCAGCCAGGCTACCCTGACCGAGGAAAGCAAAAGCTCGCCTTCCGACCCACTTAGAACCGTGCCAGAACCTCAGGATGAGTTCACTGATGAAATTTAAACCCCAGTGCACTTTCGCTGTTGGAACAGAATTTCTGCAGAGTTGCCACAACCTGGGAAAAATCTCAAAAGAGCAAATTTTAAATGCTGCCATCTCTTTGAATTACGAATACTACTCTACCTGGAAACGAGACATTTTTATGCACCCTTCCATCTTTAAAATGAATTTATAAGCACGGGAGAAAGTCATTTTTGTCACAGTCATCATTAGAACACAGAGAAAAAAAGATGTTTAAATAAACGGCCATACACACTCATACACATAAAATCCCTTCACAAAAAAATGAAATTTTACAAGGGACTGGCGTTAGAAAAATACATTAATCTTAACATTCCAAATTTTAGAAAACGCCCCCTCGCATAGTAACTAAATCATTACCTTTCAGAACATGTCACTTTTATACAATTTTAACACCATCAGAGTACCTCACTAAATCAATATTTTCAAATGAGATTTTTTTTTCCCCTCGTTATTCAGCTGGTATAAGCACACATAAAACGGGATTGGCTTTTCTGTGCTGGAGTCTTCGCTTGGTAGCTACTTTTCTACAAAGCTCTGCTGGAGGGTAAACCCAATCCGAGTTTAAAAGTAACACTAAGCCATTGTTTACAGGGTTTCATACATAAAGTGGTTTACCCACAATTTGCGTCACTCAAGCATACAGCCGAACAAAAGAGCTATCTTGCATATTGATAAAAGCTAAAATTCAGTTCCTATTTTCACAATTTAAAAGTTGCTCTCATGGGTAAATTAATAAATTAAGCCCAGAAAAATGAAAGGAGTTAAAAATGGAAGAAATATAAATATTTCTTTTTCTAAAAATCATATACAGAAAAGGCCAGGATTCCTTACTAGTTTGAAGGAGATCCACCGAACTTCAGAAGCTGGATCTGCACTCAACTTCAAGGCAATCTGTATTAAGTAATCATAAACACCACTGGGATTATAGAGTTCCAAAATCAGCATCAGCTGTCTGAAAGTTTTTAAAAAGACATTGTTTTGGGGTGAAAAACACATTATTAGTCTTTCTTTACTCTCATTTCACAAGCAGAAAGCTGAGTGAAAATGGTCACACAAAGAAAAGTGGGAAAAAAGAAAAAAATCTTAATTCCTCATCTCTCTCTCACACACAAATCAAACAAAAAGGAAATAAATTAAACTTTGTAAAACAGAGGCTGAAAAATTTATGAATAGGGATTTAATATTTCAACTTTAGGTTATCAGTTCGAAAGCACATAAAACTTTAAAAATCAGATAACATAAAAATAGCCAGAATATTTAAGTTCCCAAAGATCAAGAGATCAAGGGAACACACATGCGACTTCCCGGTCTCCGGGGTGCTCCCGACGCTGCAAATCACATTTTCTGCTTTCGCTGGCGGCTCACGCACCGCGCACGAGGCTTTTCAAACCCAGCCAGGTCCGCCTGGAGAGAACTCGGAGCGCTAGCCCTTTACTCCGGGGAAAAGATTCATAAGATGGCTGGTCGGAAAGACCTACCGCCAAAGCTTTCACTATTTTCTAACTGGGGATGGGGAGAAGGGTAGGAAAACAAATGGCGTTATTTCCACACTGACCAAGAAAGGAAATGAAAAAGAGATTAGAGGGAAGTTAGAACCAGAAGCCAGGAGTGCCGGTAACACTTTGATATCAAAAAGCACTGTTTTCAGAAAAATGATACCAGTATCATGGGCACGGAAGCACAGAATTCGTATCAGCGGCTTTGGCTTCAATAACCTAGATAGCCCGAGCTCGGAGATAACGCCGTCGGGCGAAGCGAGCTGGCCCGGCCCGGCCCGGCCCGGCCCGGCCC